ATGGTTAACCTAAAATGAGACCCATATGGGCTGGCCCATATGGGCTAAATGCATGGGCCCTATTCAGCAACTAGGTGGGCTATCTGGGAATGGGATAGTACTGGGCAACACTATATGGGGCCCATGTGGTTTCAGTATCATGGGCCCAACATGGGAAGCCCATGTGGGCTGACCACATTGAACCCACATGACATCAGCATGGGCTGACCATATATGGGTTAGACCTGGGTGTGGATATGTGGGCCCCAGTCCTTTTTTAAGTGGGCTATCTGGGAATGGGATAGTACTGGGCAACAGTATGTGGGGCCCATGTGGTTCTAGTATCATGGGCCCAACATGGGAAGCCCATGTGGGCTGACCACATTGAACCCACATGACATCAGCATGGGCTGACCATATATGGGTTAGACCTGGGTGTGGATATGTGGGCCCCAGTCCTTTTTTAAGTGGGCTATCTGGGAATGGGATAGTACTGGGCAACAGTATGTGGGGGCCCATGTGGTTCTAGTATCATGGGCCCAACATGGGAAGCCCATGTGGGCTGACCACATTGAACCCACATGACATCAGCATGGGCTGACCATATATGGGTTAGACCTGGGTGTGGATATGTGGGCCCCAGTCCTTTTTTAAGTGGGCTATCTGGGAATGGGATAGTACTGGGCAACAGTATGTGGGGCCCATGTGGTTTCTAGTATCATGGGCCCAACATGGGAAGCCCATGTGGCTGACCACATTGAACCCACATGACATCAGCATGGGCTGACCATATATGGGTTAGACCTGGGTGTGGATATGTGGGCCCCAGTCCTTTTTTAAGTGGGCTATCTGGGAATGGGATAGTACTGGGCAACAGTATGTGGGGCCCATGTGGTTCTAGTATCATGGGCCCAACATGGGAAGCCCATGTGGGCTGACCACATTGAACCCACATGACATCAGCATGGGCTGACCATATATGGGTTAGACCTGGGTGTGGATATGTAGGCCCCAGTCCTTTTTTAAGTGGGCTATCTGGGAATGGGATAGTACTGGGCAACAGTATATGGGGGCCATGAGGTTTCAGTATCATGGGCCCAACATGGGAAGCCCATGTGGGCAGACCACATTGAACCCACATGACATCAGCATGGGCTGACCATATATGGGTTAGACCTGGGTGTGGATATGTGGGCCCCAGTCCTTTTTTAAGTGGGCTATCTGGGAATGGGATAGTACTGGGCAACAGTATGTGGGGCCCATGTGGTTCTAGTATCATGGGCCCAACATGGGAAGCCCATGTGGGCTGACCACATTGAACCCACATGACATCAACATGGGCTGACCATATATGGGTTAGACCTGGGTGTGGATATAGGCCCCAGTCCTTTTTTAAGTGGGCTATCTGGGAATGGGATAGTACTGGGCAACAGTATATGGGGCCCATGTGGTTTCAGTATCATGGGCCCAACATGGGAAGCCCATGTGGGCAGACCACATTGAACCCACATGACATCAGCATGCGCTGACCATATATGGGTTAGACCTGGGTGTGGATATGTAGGCCCCAGTCCTTTTTTAAGTGGGCTAACTGGGAATGGGATAGAACTGGGCAAAACTATGTGGGGCCCATGTGGTTTCAGTATCATGGGCCCAACATGGGGAGACCATGTGGGCTGACCACACTGAACCCACATGACATCAGCATGCGCTGACCATATATGGGTTAGACCTGGGTGTGGATATGTGGGCCCCAGTCCTTTTTTAAGTGGGCTATCTGGGAATGGGATAGTACTGGGCAACAGTATATGGGGCCCATGTGGTTTCAGTATCATGGGCCCAACATGGGAAGCCCATGTGGGCAGACCACATTGAACCCACATGACATCAGCATGCGCTGACCATATATGGGTTAGACCTGGGTGTGGATATGTGGGCCCCAGTCCTTTTTTAAGTGGGCTATCTGGGAATGGGGATAGTACTGGGCAACAGTATATGGGGCCCATGTGGTTTCAGTATCATGGGCCCAACATGGGAAGCCCATGTGGGCAGACCACATTGAACCCACATGACATCAGCATGCGCTGACCATATATGGGTTAGACCTGGTGTGGATATGTGGGCCCCAGTCCTTTTTTAAGTGGGCTATCTGGGAATGGGATAGTACTGGGCAACAGTATATGGGGCCCATGTGGTTTCAGTATCATGGGCCCAACATGGGAAGCCCATGTGGGCAGACCACATTGAACCACATGACATCAGGGGCTGACCATATATGGGTTAGACCTGGGTGTGGATATGTAGGCCCCAGTCCTTTTTTAAGTGGGCTAACTGGGAATGGGATAGAACTGGGCAAAACTATGTGGGCCCATGTGGTTTCAGTATCATGGGCCCAACATGGGGAGACCATGTGGGCAGACCACACTGAACCCACACATGACCATGGGCTCATGTCATGGGCCCAACATGGGGAGACCATGTGGGCTGACCACACTGAACCCACTGTGGGTTCAGTGTGGTCAGTACATATCCACGCCCAGGTTGGACCTGGTGTGGATATGTAGACCCCAGTCCTTTTTTAAGTGGGCTAAATGAGACAAAATTGTAAACAATGTACAGGGGTTGGACAATGAAACTGAAACACCTCTCATTTTAGTGTGGGAGGTTTCATGCCTGAATTGGACTAGCCTGGTGGCCAATCTTCATGAATTGCACATTGCAACAGTAAGAGCAGAGTGTGAAGGTCCAATTAGCAGGGTAAGAGCACAGTTTTGCTCAAAATATTGCAATGCACATAACATTATTTGGGACATACTGGAGTTCAAAAGAGGGCAAATTGTTCACCAAGACAGCAAGTCTTTGTGATTATCAAGAGCCACAGTATCCAGGGTAATGTCAGCATACCACCAAGAATGACGAACCACATCTAACAGGATTAACTGTGGATGCAAGATGAAGCTGTCTTAAAGAGATGTTTGGGTGCTAACCTGGATTGTATCCCAAAAACATAAAACCACGGTGCCCAAATCACGGTAGAATTAAATGTGCACCTCAACTCTCCTGTTTCCACCAAAACTGTCCTGGTCAATATACACAGCCGGGCTGCTATAGCCAAACTTTTGGTCACTCGTATCAATGACTCGTATCACTCGTATCAATGCCAAACGTCGGTTTCAATGGTGCAAGGAGCGAAAATCTTGTGCTGTGGACAATGTGAAACATGTATTGTTCTCTGATGAGTCTACCTTTACTGTTTTCCCCACATCCGGGAGAGTTACGGTGTGGAGAAGCCCCAAAGATGCATTCCAGCCAGAGTGTTGTATGCCAGAGTGAAGCATGGGGGTGGATCATTGATGGTGTGGGCTGCCATATCATGGCATTCCCTTGGCCCCATACTTGTCCAAGACGAATTGATGCTGTATTGGCCTCAAAAGGAGGCCCTACACCACGCTAATAAGTTATTGTGGTCTAAAACCAGGTGTTTCAGTTTCATTGTCCAACCCCTGTAGTTAACCTGTCACTTTCAAAATTTTGACTGTATGTCAAAGCAAAAGCTGCAAGAGCAAGATTCTCAAAACTTGGAAAGAATTACCCGAGATGTCAGCTTTATAGTCTTTGCCAAGGCAATTGTTACTCAGCTGGCCTCTAATGGAGTTGATGTAAGGTAAATTGTAGAATTTAATTTTTTCCTTGTAGGAAACCTCGACGATAGTAAAGGTTGGTGACCTTGACCATTGTCGAGGTCTCCAGGACGAAGGTGACCTCGTCTTGGAGATCACCCAAGGATATATTTTGCTGATAGAACAGAACATCCATGTCTTCCTAATGTTTGAACCTAAAACATGTTCACTGTGTGATATCTATGCCTGGCTCATTTACAACAATAGGCTTCCAGAGGACCAGGATATTAAAACATTAAAAATAATTCTACAATGCTTTATTTTTTTAAACCAGTTCAGTATTGCTCTAGCCACACTTTGAACCCTTAACATTTTTTCATGTTATTATTTTATGCTAGAACAGTCCAGTCCAGTCTCCAAGCCAGTACGCATGAGTGGGCCCCCCTTGGGTTTGTAGTAGGCCATATGGGTAATGAGTGGTCATGGGTTTTATCTGGGCAAACCTCATGGGACACATATGGTTAACTAAAATGGGACCCCTATGGGCTGGCCCATTTGGGCTAAATGTATGGGCCCTATTCAGCAACAATGTGGGCTAACTGGAAATGGGACAGAAATGGGCAACACTATTTGGGGCCCATGTGGTTTCAGTATCATGGGCCCCACATGAGAAGCCCAATGTGGGCTGTCCACATTAAACTAACATGACATGAGCATGGGCTAACCATACATGGGTTGGACCTGGGCAGGAAAATGTAGCCCCTAGTACTTTTTTTCATGGTCTAAATGGGACAAATTGTAGAACATTTTAATCGACAATGTGGTTACCCTGTCACTTTCAAACTTTTCACTGTATGTCAAAGCAAAAGCCAGTTCAGTATTGCTCTTGCTACACTTTGAACCCCTAACTTTTTTTTCATTTTATTATTGCAGTCTGAATGTCTTAAAACATTTTTTTGAAATAATCTGTTTGAAATATATACGTAAACTCATATTCTGGTGCTTACTCAAAATTAAGCACAGAGTGGTCATGGTTGAGCTTTAGTCCTTGTTTTATTTTTAATAATAATAACTTTTTATTTTATTTTTATTATTATTTTTTATCAATTGGATGTTTAGACATCCATAGAGTTTACTGCAGCCTGTTCGCAGCAAGATTTAAATTTTTATTTGGACAAATAGTTCAGATCAGACCATTGTGAAAAATATCACAAAATGTTTAGAAAATAAACAAAACTCATTAGCAAGTGAGAGACAAGAGTAAAATTTTGAGCATCTGTTTTTTCATATATTTGCAAACATTTTCCAAGTCATCAGTATAAATAAAAATAAAAAATAAAAAAACGTAACATTTCTGTTAATGATTCATTTGGTTCCAATTACCTTTTGTTCATTGTTTGCTCTGAGGCACCGTTGCCAATAAAGGTTGGTGAATTGAAGTACCGGTAGGCACTTTACACATCCACTGAAGAAAATAGTTCCAAAACATATTTGAATAAGGAGGACAACGAAATGTATTTATTTACATTGAGAACTTTTGCTACATCGGTTTTACATTTGTTAAACCGATGTAGCACTCTCAAAAATTAATCTTGTGTTTCTTGGAAAACGTAAAATGACCCGCGGATGGATATGCGGTTTCAAAATCAAGCCTGTTCTCTTCATCAGTCCGTTGGCGCGGAGTCTGCCTGTTGGCTGATCTACGAAAGAATCTGTAAGTACATTTCTTCTGTACCTAGTACCAAATTTTAGGGAGAGATTTTAAATCGCTTGTTAAAAAAATTGTTGCTCGTAACAAATCGGACGACAGTATCCCAAAAGAGACTTAATTGTTATTGTTATTTTTGCTTTTCTTTAGGGTGATACTTTTTCTGATATTGCTAACACACACAGCTACACACAATAAGCAGATTTTAGTGCAGACCGATTTCAAACGCAGCGTTGTGGGCCAAACCATTTTCAAATACCGCCGCCATTCTATTTGTTGAGCTGCCATTGGTTCATTTGAGCGCCAACGAGGCAGAATGAAATCGGTTCACTGAAGAATCTATGTTGCTAGCAGAGGTTGTTACAAAGTGTCTGGACACAATAAAACCATTTGTATGATTTAAAAAGAGTAACTATTGTGCTTTCATTCTATGTACTTGGGCTTTTAATAATCTTTCTCACAGTCACATCAGCATGCATGGGTGGGTCTCATGTATGGATTCAGGCTGGTTTGGCTGGGACCCATGCAAGATTATTATTGTCGTTTTTTTCAATAAAACTGCATTGAATCGTTTAGCTTTGGGCTATATAGGTAATGATAAGAGGGCATGGGTTTTATCTGGGCCAACTGCGTGAGGCTCAAAAGGTTAACCGAAATGGGACTCATATTGTTGGCTCAATTGGGTTAAATGTATGGGCCCAATTCAGCATTAACGTGGGCTAACCGGGCATGGGACAGAAATGGGAACACTATATGGGGCCCATGTGGTTTCAGTATATTGGGCCTAAAAGGTTTTTTGTAAATAGGATGAAGGCATTGTAGTTCATATTTTTAAATTCTTTTTTAATTGTTGTGTGACACTTTAAAGCGTTTTGTTATGTCATAGTTTATTTCAATCTGCCGCTATTGTGTTGGTCTAGAGTAGTCATCAGTGTCAGGGTTCCTGTGTGTGTATGTGAGTGTCGCATCTTATTTCAGCGAGGATCTTTGTGAGGAGCCCGTGGAGCTTGGCACAGGTGGAGGAGCAGCAGAATCTTCAGTCTACGCTAGATTGACTGAAGATTCTACTGGTGTATGCTAGATGGTTGCATACACCGGTAGTCACTCTGGCCTCTCCTGTTGTGAACAGTTTTCTGAGAACGTTTCTGTGTCTACTAGAAGTCACCTGGTCTCTGTGTTTGTTCGATCCTAGGGGTTTTGTCGCCTCATTCGAGAACTCACCAGTGAATACCTGCCTGCTCGCTCCGCCGATTCCACTGCCTCCACTCCACCCTTCGAGCTTCCAGCTCTCTTCCATTCCCACCTCGCATTTACCTTCGGAACTGCTGCACACCCTCTCTCAGGAACCTGGCATCTCACACCCACGCCTCGAAAGACCCGCACCGAAGTAAGCCTGTTCCTGTTTCCCCTCCGATCACTCATTCTAAGCCCGTCATAACTAAGTTCTCGTTTCAGGCCAACCTGGTCGAGTGGTCCTCACCCTTCCGCTGATGTCCGGGAAATAGATTTTATTTTGTCCTGTTGTAAATAAATCACTCACTCATCCCTATCCAACGTGTGGTTACTGCATGTGGGTCCGTAAATTGAAACCATCATGTCAATCAGTGGCCAAGCCTGAAACAAATATTGAAAGATGAAGAAATTCTTTTTGATATTTTTGCAATATTTAGCTAGCAGTTATGTGAAATGTACTTATATTTAATTGTAGCTCTAATTTTTTTATATGTGCAATGTTTTAGGCTTTATTAGTTACATTTATAGTGATTTTCTAAACTTCTCTTAAGAGTAATACTACTGTCTTAGTCCTGTCACGTTAACAAAGAAATTAGGATAATTGCAAAACTGTTCAGTGTTTACAATATAAGGCTTCAGTAGTTAATCTATACAAAGGCTGTTTTGCCTTAATTTTTTTATTTTTTTGAAAGTCTAAATGTTATATTGCACTAATAAAATATATTTTTGCAGGCTTCAAGAGGATCAGCGTGTGAAGATCACTTTATAATGATTTGAAAAAGGTAGATTAATATGTTAGTGAAATTAAGCACATAAGAGTGATATAATGACAAACTGATGAACAAAAACAAAATGTTGTCCTGTTATTGTCATTATACTTAAGGTTGCCATGGCTACAGAAATTGGAGGAGCATCCTTAGATGACACAATACAACCAGCTGTGCGATTCCTCATGTCCCATGAACTGGAAGTCCAGTTCAACCTTTTTGGCCAACATTGGAAACAAGCTCTTGGACCTGCGTCTCTTTGATGTTTTGTATGGTAAATATCAGTTTTTATTGTCAGAGTAACTTTTTTTTTTCACTTTTCTTTCTTAAACATATGTTAATTTATTTTGGTTGTTTTATGCTTTTGTTTGTTATTTTTAGTAATGTTTTTAGGTTAAAAATTGAGTCTTCAATTTTTGGTTTTATTTGAACAGTATTCTTTCACTGTTGTTAAGAACTTAAAATTTGAAGGTAATATTGTTTGCATTTCCAACAATATTAAAATAACCACAAAACCACGATAGAACCTAGTAGTTGATTTATATAGATGGATATATTTTAAATTTACAGTAAGAATATAGTTTCTGTACATAATAATGATGACTCAAGAGTCCTTTTGATTATGGCATATCTCTGCAAGCATTTTTGCCCCATGAAGGGGGAGATGCAAATCTCATGAATGTTACATTGTGCTAAAATGAAACACTAATACAATTTCTACCTTTGCTTGTTATTTCAGGGGACTTAAAAGAAATTATCCATCTACAGAATCACACAAGCATACAGCAAAGACTCTCGAAGTGGTTTACTGGAGCCCGAGTGGAAGTGGAAATAGACTAGAGAGACTGCCAGTTCAAACTCAGGTTGGGGAGGTCTTTCAAGATGGACAGTTTCAGTAAAGTATGAGAGATTTCAAATTTAAGCATGCATATGGCATGTAGGTTATTTTTAAAAATGTTTAACAAAAATGTATTGTGAAAGATCTATATAGGTGTGTATATTCACATTGTGTGTATCAATGTGAATATACGTGTATAAAGTTATATAGATAGTATTTAGATGTATACATTTATAGACCTGTAGGAAAATATGTAGGTGTCTTTATTTGTGTGCATCTATAGATATATATTTATAGATCTGTTTATAAGTTTGTTATAGTAAACTAGCTTCTGTTATTTTCAAAGATGTCGTGAATAATTGCAGATTTCTTTTTGTGGCACCATTCCCTGAGTATTAATGAAGTTCTAATAATTGCTGTAGTGAGGTAAAAAATAACTCCTGACAATATTTTAAATTACTAAATAAAAGCCTTGAGCAAAATAAATTTTTCATCTCTTTTTTTTTTTTTTTTATTTGAACACGTTTTAAGCTAGACTTTGGATTGTTGATCAAGATTGCATATCTATGAATGTAATTCACATCCAGGTTAGATGAGAATTGTTCCTACAGGATTAAGGCATCTGGGTCCCGCTGAAAGCCCAGTTAGCACCCATAAAAAAAATCTACTTGGGCAAACCCATGTGGGGCCACCATGGAAACCGTGGACAAACCCACTTGGTACCCATATTCTAGCCCAGTTCAGACCCAATTGGGACCCAGGTAAATATTCCTGACAGCACCCTAGTGGGCCACAGATGAGCCTCATGTAAGTTAACCACATGGGCCCCACTGAAAGCCCAGTTAGCACCCATAAAAATTTACTTGGGCAAACCCATGTGGGGCCACAATGGAAACCGTGGACAAACCCACTTGGTACCCATATTCTAGCCCAGTTCAGACCCAATAGGGACCCAGGTAAATATTCTTGACAGCACCCTAGTGGGCCACAGATGGGCCTCATGTGAGTTAACCATGTGGGACCCACTGAAAACCCAGTCAGCACCCATTGAAATCAACCTGGGCAAACCCATGTGGGGCCACCATGGAAAACCGTGGACAAACCCACTTGTACCCATATTCTAGCCCAGTTCAGACCCAATTGGGACCCAGGTAAATATTCCTGACAGCACCCTAGTGGGCACAGATGAGCTCATGTAAGTTAACCATGTGGGACCCACTGAAAGCCCAGTCAGCACCCATTGAAATCAACCTGGGCAAACCCATGTGGGGCCACCATGGAAACCGTGGACAAACCCACTTGGTACCCATATTCTAGCCCAAGTTCAGACCCAATTGGGGACCAGGTAAATATTCCTGACAGCACCCTAGTGGGCCACAGATGGGTATGTGAGTTAACCACATGGGCCCCACTGAAAACCAGTTAGCACCCATAAAAATTTACTTGGGCAAACCCATGTGGGGCCACCATGGAAACCGTGGACAACCCACTTGTACCCATATTCTTGCCCAGTTCAGACCCAATTGGGACCCACGTAAATATTCTTGACAGCACCTAGTGGGCCACAGATGGCCTCATGTGAGTTAACCATGTGGGACCCACTGAAAACCCAGTTAGCACCCATTAAAATCTACTTGGGCAAACCATGTGGGGCCACCATGGAAACCGTGGACAAACCCTTTGGGACCCATATTGCCTGCCCACTTATATCCCATATGGGGCCCACCTAGGTGTGATGGCTGGGCTGAAGCAGTCTGTAATCTTACGTCAACAAATAAACTCAACATAGACGTGGAAAAGATGAGGACAAACAATTAAAATAACTCAAAATGTGTTGTCTACCGGGTATGCAGTGGTGTTTACCCGGATAATCTTGTGACGGAAAGCTCGTTAAATTCGTCAATGAGAACTTGTCTGGTGGCTTTTCTCTACTTACCGATGGTGGAAATGTGCGAAGGATCAAATTCACCTTCCGTGAACCTGCGCAGCATGCATGTCTTCCCAACGCCGGAGTCTCCGAGAAGGAGCAATCTGAACAAAACGTCGTATTGTTTCGCCATGACTTAAAACTCGAGCATGACCCAAAACTCGAGCATGACCCAGCTGGACTTCTTTCATCCACAAACTTCTGGATCGATCGCCTCCTTCAGTGCGCGTTGGACACGTCGCTTCCAATGAACACCGGTCGGTAGGTCAACTAAGAGGCGATCTCGTTTTCTTACTTTTTCTTTAAGTTATCTTAAAATTATGATTAAGGATGTTTGAAGATATTTTAATATTTTAAATTTTGAACTCAGTATTTATTTAAATTATAAGCACTTTGTATTGCCTTGTTGCCGAAAATGTGCTATATAAGTAAAATTACCATCACCTTTTACCAGTAAACCTTTTGTTACCTGTGCAGGAAAACAAATCAGAAGTTAGTGTCTTATTTGACGACCCGCAGTCTCAGTGGATATTTGTACATCCTGCCACCATAAAATTATTTACTAGTTTAAAACGGGATCAATGGATTTACTGATATTTAAAGATTCTCTTAAATTGTTAAATTCTCTTTAAAATGATTGCCATTTATTTATAGGTGCATTGAGTTATGAATGCAATTATTTCAGCATATTGAATTAAATTATTTATTTCATTGGAACATTCCACATTTCGGTGTCTATTTATATCCTTCTATTTAAATTAAAGTTTAATGTTCAAACTACAGCATAAATGCAGCACAAACCCTGCAACTTCAAGCCAGCTATCTCCTGCAAACTGCTCATTAGAGACAAGTATAAAGCTACAAGATATATTTCCTGTAAACACTTGGCTCAAACTTGCTTTTGGTGCAGTTAGTCAGCAATACCACTACAGTTTCTGGTCAGTTTTTTTTTTTTTTTTGCAATTCTACATTTAATCAAGTTTTTTTTATTCATATTCCTCTGCCATCAGGTTGGAGTTCTTTTTTTGTGTCTTCTTGTTTTAATTTCTCCTCCGATCTCACAGATTTCATAACAGACCTTCAGCAATCACAGCAAGCCAAGCTGGCATAAAAACTGCATGGTCTGGTCAGGTTCAACCATGTCTCCTGTAGAAATGCTTCATTAACAACCACTTCTGCTGAAAAAAAATACAATAAAAACAATCAAGGAGGTCGACCTTGTGAGCCTAATCTTACAAAATATGCATACATTAATTGAGCACAAGAAACGATGGAAAAATTGTCTTTTTGCTTAGTCAGAAATAAAGATATTTTTCATGTAAGTCCTGAAGACTATCATCTTCACTTTAAATGTTTTTTTCAGCATCCACATTTCCCCTCTGGAGAACATATTTAAGATTTACTCTATGTATTTCATTTAACAAATTCAACTAGTGAAAGAAGTTAATAAGCACACACAGAGTCACAAGTACATCCAAAAAGGATAAAATAGTTTTATTTATAGTCTTATAATAAAGGTATGCCTTAACTTGCAAGACAACCATTGGCAGTATGTACAACATACCTGTAATTTCCATGGAATGGAACAAATATTGATTACATACTCACGTTATTTTCTGATTTTTATAGATCAACATTCCCAGCACAGGCAAATATGTCAAGGGAAGGCTTTTCTGTGCAGAACTGACACCATTAAGGAATATAGTGTTACAAACAACACACTAAAATGGACTTCCATTAACAAAAATAAAGGTTACTGCCCATCAACTGTGTTGTGTAACATTCACTATTAATTGAGGGATATTTTTAAAACCACATATATATATCTATATATTTACTGAGATAAAAAAATGAGGAAAATAAATATTCAAATGCTCTAAAACTGGAAGTTGATCTACTCTGAAGCCAATCATTACAGAGACCAGAGATATTAATGTACAATATAAGGGTATGAAATACATTTTAGTGCATTAAAAGAGGGATTCACTAAAACAACATTTTCAAAGACATTATTTCAGCCACCTAACCTGAATAAAGAGGGTTTCTTCTTAAAAGATGGACACCTTTTCTGACGACAAATTCACATTCTTTCCTGGAAAAATACGAATATTAAAAACTATCTCTGATCATAATTTCAACAAAGCTGGTATAGTTGTACAGCTTTGGTGGATTACAAAGTTTGTCCCAAACAACCAAAAAGAAAAGCTTGTTTTTGCAGCTTTACTAAAGCTTCATGCTGTGCCATTTCTACAAGTGATCATGAGGTCTTACAAACAACATGTCCTTCAAAACTGCTGAGCTGCCACACTTTGGGTGTATTAAAAGTCATTTTGGGGACACAAAAACAGAGAGGGGAAGCTTGCCGGAAGGACACAGCAAGGTAAAAGCGTTTTGGACACACCGTAACAGCACCTCTAAGACAGTTTCCACCTCATCTTCTTGACTGGTGTAAGAAGGCAGGCAGGTAAGAAGAGCTGGTGGATACAAAAAGTCCGTCTAGACCGCCAGGAGTCTAATTTGTCTCCACACGCAGCTTCTTCCTGTTGGGCGGCTCGTCCGGCTCCGATTCGGAGGTGGAGTCGGAGCCGCCGTCGAAGGCCGACACCGCGCTGCCTTTCCGGTTTGTGTACAAGCTACTGTCAGAGGAGTAGTTGGTTTGGAGCTGAGAGTTCCCTTTGGCTTTCTCCAGGGCACGGACTAAACCAAGTGACACAAGACGGTAAATGTAAAGAAGTGAGCAAAAGCAATCATCAGCTGTAAGATTCCTCTACATACCCTGTTGCTCCAGCAGTGCGTTCTGCTTCTTTAAATCATCAATGTCCTGCTGGTGGGTGTGATTTTTCCTCCTCATCAACTGGATGTATTCGGTGGCTTTGTCCAAAATCTGGGCCCGAGAAGCCTGTCAAAGCAAAATAGTTTTAATGTACTTATTTGGAATGGGATTAAAATATTGTTTTAAAATGTTTTTCAATTGATTGATGCATGATATGGCATGCATCAATCAATTCCTTTCAGAAATATGCTTTGTTGCAATTACAGTTGCACCCGGAGCTGAGTATGCCACACCTTTTAGATATTCAATAGTGAATATGTTAAAAAAGAAAAAGAAAAAAAAAACATATATCAGTATCCTACATCATAACCAAGCAGTACTTCAAGTTGTTTTATCAAATAAAATCTCAATAAAATTAATCAAGCTTTGGCTTGTATTGTGGCAAAATGTGAAAAAGTTCAACAGGTGTGTGCACTTTGGCAAAAAACAGCATAGCACAGATGAACAAACACTGCATGGATCATCCATTCATAGGACTCATGTTACCAATCAAATACATGACAGCAGCCTCTAAACTTCTGCTTCTCAATGGCATTACCACAGAGGAACAGTTGAATGACTAAATGCCACTGATTAAACAGATAAGACCATTAATGTTCCACATCTCATGACTCCAAATCAGTGCACAACATAAAAGTGGAGCAAACTGAACATGGGACACTATATCAGATTCTAACAGTGTAAAATTTGTCTGAAACGTGACCAGTAATATTTAGTCCATCTCACCTTCTCTCCTTGTAATGAAGGCACAGAGTCTCTTAAGCTGTGGAAGCTGTCTTTGATGTGGTCCCTCCGTTTGCGCTCGAGGGCGTTGTGATGGGCTCGTTTGTCTGCCTGCAGAGAGAGACACACACACTTTACACAGGCATTTCTTCAAAACAACATGGCGTAGATTTAAAAAAATATTTTAAAACTTCATAACATGAATTAAAGGGCTTGTAAACTAATTTGATCATGGTTTCCAGGATGACCTGTTTTCCACTTTAATGGTTCACTGTGTGTACAAATTTCTGCGCAAGAGGAAGCAGCAGAGACATTTTTAGGAATGCGATATTTGTTTACCCTCTGCTGTTGTAAAGGTTGGGCTGCTTCAAGATAAACAGATCCCGACCCAGAAAACTACATATTTACTATGGATCACAAGAAGTGAAGAGACTGTCAAGCGTCTTAACTGTAACTGTTCCGCAGTGGCTAGAGCCAAAGCTCAGATCAAACTTCCTGTTTTCCCCAGAATATATTTATGATGTGACAGAGGCCCATTTCTCTTTGTCAATCTTCAAAATTGGAAAGACAAGACACCAAGCCATGTAGTTGAGATAGATGTGTTGCTCTTCATAAATCAATGTAAACAATAGAATGAATGTTAGTTATTAATATTTCCTTTTGCAATGATATTATTGTACTGGACTCCATTGATTCAATATTCTGTTGAATATCATATTTTAAGCGCCATGTACTCACACGCTACATATCTGGATTTGGCCACTTGGATGGTTTCTAACCACTGTTGATGCAAAGGAAATGTATATTTTTAGAGGCTGAGATGGTAAAGCTCCCAGAAAATTGTGGTGAAAATGAAAAGAAACCATTAAGACAGAAAATGTTGTTTTAATAAGTGACATAATCACTGCAGTTTTCAGCATTAATAACCCAACTGCACATTTTCCTGATATGCAGATGTAAGTCAAGAAATGTCAACAAAACCTCTACTCATGTAAACTTGCCCATATCTACAAGCAATTAGCAGCAATTATTAAAAGATAAAGCAACTGAAACTGCAACAACAAATGCAGGATCAGGTCCTAAGTCTCTTTGTCAACACTGAATTAACTTTTTGGCTGCAGACACTGCTGGTGGATCTGAAAGGTTACACAAGAAAAATGTGTGTGTATGCCACCCCACAGCAACTCCATGGGTGATGAACAAATGTTTCTACAGTAGCTCTGATTGTAGCAGCTACAAGAATGTCTCATGTGTGCTCATTTTCATGTAGATTGACATGTCATAGGGAGAGTTGTTTGGATCCATGCATATGCGTAGTTTCATACATCTGGATTTATTTCTGAGTACAGTTTTCTGCATTTCAATTCACTACGCGTGTAAAAAAGAAAAATGTGAAAGCTTTTGTACAAACTTCTAAATAAAATGCAAGCACCAACTGGCTGCAAGATGATCTGAAGCTGGATATCCCAGCTTAATGAAACCAGGGGGAAGATAATCCACAGTAAAATAATAAGTCATAACACAGAATATATGTCAGAAAGTGACTCCATCAAAGCTCCGCTGTCAGTTAATGTCACACCAAATCAGTTGATACCATTATTTTGTTTTTCTAACTAAAAACAAACAATACAGAGGGATTATGCTTAGAAAAAGTAAATAAAAATACTTTAAAAGTGCCAAATCGGTAGGGAGCTCACGGAATACGTGACAGCAGACACACCAACAGAACACAAAAGTCTATTCAGTGCTGATTTGTTATTTATTATGCGGGCTAAAGGACGAAACACGCCCTTTTTAATCAGATCCAAGATGAGTAGATACAACTCAGCAGTATATTTTGACCATCTCAATGCTATCGACTTAGCAACAATAGAAACACGGTGGGCCCAACCTGCAATGCACGGATTGCAGCAAACAAAACATGATTTTTGTTTTTGTATTTTTCCAACATACACACCGGAAAACATAATTAAGAGGAAAATGTATAAACTTCATTTAAATAAAGTACACCATGTTCAGAGAATTTCCCCTCCCATGCAGCAACAGCTTAACTGCTGTTCGTGACTGTCGCATCACGTTTTTAATGTGGGGCACTGTAGTTATATAAGGAGTTTATTATACGTTTGACTACATCTGGTTGATGTACGGGCGTAGAGAAACTGTGAAGATACTTCTGTACGCAAGCTAATGATCAAGTAGCTCACAGGGACATTATATAAACAACAATATAATGCGTTAATGTAATAAAATGTACAGTTCCCTCAGTCCAGTTTGTATGTTTTGCTTTTATTTACGTGAAAATACCTCAACATGTTAGAAAAACAGGGATTTTGTCAACTTGTTTTAAAAATATATATTCAGTGTTAGCTTAAAAATATTGAGCTAGCTCACATAGCTTCGGTGTTCAGCAGCTTATATTTACGCTGCAGTCCGTTTAAACAAGGCTAGCTAGCTAATCCTGCTGGAAGAAACCGAGTCACGTACATCGCTGTCGACTTCGATGTCATCGTTTTCGCTCATTCTTCAGTAAAAAAAAATGTTCTAGAAAAGAAAGCAGGCAGCTGTCAAAACAAAGTGCAGCGACAACTGGAGGCGAACACACAAAACGTTACGCGGAGCTGCTGCTGCTGCTACGGCAGACGCATGACGAGAGACACATGGACGGGAAAAACAAGCACGGCGCAGGCGCGGGTTGAGCAACGCCCGATGGGAAATGGTGTTCAGGGTTGACATCAATTTACGTTAGGTGTGGGTACAAGTTTTACATTAAGACTACAATTCCCTAAAAGCTAAGGGCCAGAACGCACCCACACTAAAAAAATCTACTTTACAAGTTAGAAATCCAGTTATCTCAGGACTCTGTGTGTTTAGTGTAATTGCTGTAATGCAGTGTTATATATTGCGAGATAGAAAATAAAAGAGCAGTATGTAGATTTAGATGTTTGTCAAACATTCAAGCCAATTTCTACATTAAAACCCACTATTGCATCCAGGATTAATCAATATGACTGTTTTGTGATGTTTGCGTAGCCATTTTTTATTGTTCGGGTCAACAAGAAGGGCCCCTCTGCTCTTGGTCCAACATATGATTATGAAACCAGATGGCAGCCTTGCTCACTTCAGCCACCCTCCCCCACCTTTCATACATGATTCTCCATTTGCATTCATAAGACCATTGAATAATATGTTGAGCAACCCATCACTTAAATCTTCTATGGTCCCCTTAAGATATATATTTTTTTAATTAAAAGAAATGTTTGTATACAGGTAAAAAACAACAAAAAAGAACATGATTACATATGAGTTATTGCATGAAACATTATTTGTTCATCGAATGGATATGAAAAGAGGATCTCCAAACTCCTTAAATCTTCCTTTCAAATCTGATCAGTTTCCCAATTATTTTCAAATAAGAATATCGCCACCACAAGATACTGCCATAATTTTGTCTCACAGTGGGAATGATGCATGTTGTTATTTTTCCCCTACATATGTAATGATGCCTGTTGTCCAGGGAACAGATTATTTTACTTGAGTTGTGGATCTCATGGATACTTGGATGGATGAAAAGATTGTTGAAATTATGGATCTTCAGTACTACATTAATAAGTAATTGGCTTTGGACATTGCTAATTGAGAACTTACTATTGTTAACGGGTAAAATAAATAAATAAATAAATATATATATATATATATTTTTTGTAATGACTTTTCTTAATATTTTAAAGTTATCTTACTCTTACTCGATGTAACAATTTCACTCTGAGTGTAAAAATGGCGATTTTGAGAAGATTAATTCTGGGAACAACGCCTTGCATGCAACCAATCCACTGTCTGTGAATATAAAAACATGAATGTTTCTTCTGCAAAATTAAGTCCAGTGCAATTTAAGATAAACAGAAACTTTTACATTCTATCCTCATATTTCAAGATTACTAAGCTCTAATTTTTCTGTAGTGACCCCAAAAGACAGAAAAGAGAAGAGGGGGCTTTTGGGGAGTTGGCACAATTGGCAGAATACTTTTAGTCAGTAGCAATTAAAATGGGGAGAAAATTGATTCATATGAGCATGTAATTTTAACTAACAAAATCCCTTTGTTAGTTTCTTGTTTAGCTGCCTGCAGTATCTATAGCAACCATTTTGTTAGAAGAGCATGTGACAAAGGGGCTCAAATACAAAGTCGAGGGTTCAGACGCAAGAATGTGAGTCAGCATGAAGACGACTGTGCCTGTTTCTACAGTGCAACACTGCAGCCAGTTGCCTGAAATTGAGGTAAGTGATATTTTTCCACTCCATTAGTTGTAACATTACTTATCTAGTTAAACTCTCTCTTTTGAGTGTTTAAGTTCCCAAAGAAATCATTTCCTTCAGCCAACTAACTGTGGTTTTAGAGTTGTTTTTATAATACTGTGTTGTTGTTTTTTTGTTAATTTGGCTCTAAATGTCTAAAGCTTTTATGAAAGCCATAGGTGGCTGCAGGCCGTGTTAATTAAAACACTATGATAAAAGATGCAGTTATTGTCCAGCAAAAAGGGAGACTAAACTGTATTACAACTCCATTTTTAATATGAAAAAACAGCTTGTTACAACGGCTCCAATGGCACAAATGTCTCCAATCTATTGATAGAGCTAAAGACAAAGTTAAACAATGAGACCACTAAGAACAGAAGTTGATGTAAATAATAATAATTACAGAACAAAATCTTACATACAACTGTGTTAGAACTAGTCCAAAAACAAAAATTGAGCTCACAAGTATGCAAGTTACCACACTGATGCAAAAATAGTTAAATAAGACAACTAGATTTTTTTAAATGACTTAAATCTTGTTCATGAGGCTTCTAGGCTGAGAGCTATTGCTTGTTTTGCTCCAGTGGAAAATGTGATTTGAATATTAAGTGCCCCAGACCAACATTTGTCTATGTCTTTGTCCAAGGAAATGGAACAGATTGGGAAGAAATCCCTTGTGAGGACACATTTTACTGTTTTAATGGGATAATAAATAAGACGGCAGACATGGCAGGAATAAAGTTGGGAAGAAATTGAACAAAAACGTCCTTGAAGTCCTTTTCAGATTATCATTGTCCTTTTTGTTTGATTTCACTTAAATTTAAAATACAAGAGGTTTGTGAATTTAACATAAAAACAGGAAATAGAGTACAGGCGGTAAGACTACTCATACAACATCTTTTTTCTTCCAAATTTTTAACAAAATTTGCTATTTACAATTTAACTATTCATAGTTGAAGGTAGTTACACCTTGAGTTATTTTAAGCATCAGTCACTTAAAAACTACTGCTCATTTGTTTCAGCCTTTCAAAAAAGATGCATGAGCAACCTGTTGACAGTAGTTGCCTGCAGGAAGTTCAAATTCAATGACGAGATGCATCTTTTGTCTTAAACTGTGTTTTCTGGCCTAGAAATATATAATTTAGTCACAAAAAGTACTCTTGTTTTTATTTAATTTGTGTGACAGGTGCAAGCCACAACTCAATAAAACTGATGTTTGAAGACTTGCCATGATGAATCAGACCACCGGTTATGGGGAAATTGCTGCCATATACAATGATAGCATCATCTTTGGGAATGGCAGCATGGGCATCCTGATAATCCCCAAATCCATGAACACAGCCATTAATATTTTAATGGTGACCATACTCTTCATCACCATGATTTCCCTCGGCTGCACAATGGAGATCTCCAAAATTAAGGCCCATCTTCTCAAGCCAAAAGGGGTAGCCATTGCTTTGGTGGCCCAGTTCTGCGTAATGCCCCTGACTGCTTTCTCTTTGACCAAAATCCTCCGGATGGAGCCAATTAAGGCTGTAACAGTACTCATCTGTGGCTGCTGTCCAGGGGGAAGCTTATCAAACATTTTTTCTCTCTCGGTAAAAGGTGACATGAATCTCAGGTAAACTGACACAAATATAGCACTTTTTTACACAATTGTCAGAAAAAATGCTCCTATTTCACCTATTTGAAATTCTTGCAGTATCATCATGACAACGTGCTCCAGCATTGCTGCCCTGGTTCTCATGCCGCTGCTGCTGTACATCTTCAGCCAGGGCTTCACAGGTCTGGAAGATGTTGTTCCTTATGTTGGCATCATCACTGCTCTCGTGTTTACTCTGCTGCCTTGTGCCATCGGTATTTTCGTCAACCACTACAAACCAAATTACTCTGCAACTGTTACAAATGTAAGTAATCAAACAAAGATTTCTTTTGAATGAAACTTATTTGCAGCTTAAGCATGATTTCTGCCAGTTGCCTGAAATGACAAACATTTTGGGGCCAAGAGCACAAAATCCATGAGATTTAACTTTTCATCTAGGAACCTCTTACCAGAATGTTTAGCCATAATGATCTCTTATCCAACACTGATGGTGGAATTTTCAAAACATCTGATCTTAGTTTTATGATCTTAAACACATTAGCATAAATTATGCTAATCTACATACCTAGAAAATTAAAAAGTATTCAAATAACAAACCCTGAGCTGAAAATTTGGTATGTGTGCTGTTTCAGTGAATGTTGGGCTCTTTGAAATTTTTTGGACTTCAAAGTAAACGTACCCTCTTTGTGAAAGAGCTACAGAGAAAGAGTGGGAGAACTCATTTTTGCACACAATGACGAACTAAGATTGATGCTCAGGATGCCAAAGCAGAATCAATCAATCAATCAAATTTTATTTGTATAGCACATTTCAGCTACAAGGCATTTCAAAGTGCTTTACATCATAAACACAAAACACAAAGGCATGCAACATTGAATAAAATACCAAGGTTTTTTTTTTTTTTTTTCCCCTCCTTTTCCCTTTCTTCCCCCTTCCCTTTGACACGGAATTTAAGCGCCTGTTACCGCCGGACTCGCCGTCCGTTTAACCACGGGTATTCGCCGGGCCCCGTTGCCCACAACAGGAAAAAAAAAAAAAATTACATACATATTACAAAATCAAATCCATACATATTACATTTCAAAGCAACTCTAAACAGGTGCGTTTTTACTTGAGATTTGAAGGAAGTCAGGGTTTCCGCTGTTTTACAGTTTTCTGGAAGTTTGTTCCAAATTTTTGGTCCATAGATGCTGAAAGCTGCTTCTCCTCTCTTGGTTCTGGTTCTGGGGATGCAGAGCAGACCAGAACCAGAAGACCTGAGAGGTCTGGAAGGTTGATACAACAACAGCAGATCTTTGATGTATTGTGGTGCTAAACCATTCAGTGATTTGTAAACTAACAACAGTATTTTAAAATCTATTCTTTGAGCTACAGGGAGCCAGTGGAGGGACTTTAAAACTGGTGTTATGTGCTCTATTTTCCTGGTTCTAGTGAGAACACGAGCAGCAGCATTCTGGATCAGTTGCAGCTGTTTGATTAATTTGTTGGACAGGCCTGTGAAGACGCTGTTGCAATAATCAATGCGACTAAAGACAAACGCATGGATGAGTTTCTCTAGATCTGGCTGAGACATTAGTCCTCTAATCCTGGAGATGTTCTTCAGGTGATAGAAGGCCGATTTTGTTACTGTCTTTATGTGGCTCTGGAGGTTCAAGTCCGAGTCCATCACTACTCCAAGGTTTCGGGCCTGATCGCTAGGTTTTAGTTGTAATAACTGAAGCTGTGCATTGACTCTAGATCGTTCCTCTTTAGGTCCAAAAATAATGACTTCAGTTTTATTTTTGTTCAGTTGGAGAAAGTTTTGGCACATCCACACATTTATTCAGTGATTGGATGGGTTCAGAGTCACCTGGTGACATCGTAATGTAGAGCTGTGTGTCATCCGCATAGTTGTGGTAGCTAATATTATTTCCTGTTATGACCTGAGCTAGTGGGAGAATATAAATATTAAATAAGAGGGGTCCTAGGTTGAACCTTGGGGTACCCCACATGTGACCTTTGACCTCTTTGATGAGAAGTTTCCAATTGAAACAAAGAAATCCCTGTTCTTTATGTAGGATTCAAACCAGTCGAGCACCGAACCAGAGAGTCCAACCCAACTTTCAAGTCGATTCAGTAATATGTCATGGTCGACTGTGTCAAAAGCTGCACTGAGGTCCAACAGAACCAGCACCGTGGTTCTGCCACAGTCCGTATTTATATGAATATCATTGAATACTTTTACGAGGGCAGTCTCCGTGCTGTGGTGAGCACGAAAAACAGTGCAAGCCAAATGTTTGTTAGTGTTGGAGTCCCCACCTATCACGTTACATTGCTCAGTCTAAAGAGCAGTTGTATATGTAAGCAAAAGGGCTCTATAAACAGTATTATTGTATCTATAATTTGTTAAGGTACATGCTATGAACAAATTACTCAGGAAACAGTTGAACTAATTGAAAAAAGCTGCTCTTACTAAGATTTGTTTAAAACTAAAATTCAACTCTTGGAGGAGGCAGCAGGTCAAAAACCCAATACTGACTGCAAAAGATCTGCAGCAAGACTTGGTAGCAGCAGCAATCATTGAAGTTTCAGTTTCCACTGGAATCTTGCTAAGTGTTAGTATATTATAATTGACATTTCAATCCTTTAGTGAATTGACTGATCCATGTGACATTGCTTATTTGACAGGTTGGTCTCAGCATCCTGATAATATCCAGCATCATAGCTTTTGTCCTTTGTGGTCTCGCTGTGAAGGATGTAATATGGATGATCCTCAAGCCAGACGTCCTCGCTGTGGCTGCACTGATGCCTCTGATTGGTTTTATAATGGGATTTGTCATGTCGGTCATTTGCGGACTCAACCCACAGTAGGTTAAAACATGTTACTCATTAGTTTGTTCAGTAAACAAGCAGGTTATGACTTAGTTTCACGCAAAAATAAATCAATCTTCAGCTATAGCTCTGCGGTATCAAACACTATTTGTTCTGTAGGCAGAACAAATAGTGTTTCACATTTAAGTTTAGCAACTTTCTACAATAATTGAACTAATCTTAAGCACAATGCATGGAAGCACTGAGCTTCTAAAATATTACTTCACCCCTTTTCTTAGATGCAGCAGAACCATCTCCATGGAGACAGGGTGTCAAAACATCCAGCTGTGCACCACCATTCTTAAGGTGGCCTTTTCTCCACAGACCATTGGACCCTTGTTTTTATTTCCTTTGTTGTACATCACGTTCCAGTGTGCAGAGGCCCTCCTTCTAGCATTGTGCTTCAGATGTTACCGAAGAGTCACGGCACCGCATGGAGGGTAAGTTTTGGAACAGCCAGCCTTATGTGAGCAAGGCTGAAAGAACAGGGTACAAAAGAACAATATGGCAATCTCCTGCAATTTAAAATAACTTGATGCAAATCAAAACATGTTTTTTTTTTCTTGTTCAGATCCAAAGAAATGGAAAAACATTGATGCAAAACAAGAAGAGGTGAAACAATGATCTACAAAGAGACCAATGCACTCTTGGAGAAACTACTTAAAGAGGTGTGCCATTATTCAAACCTGTGACGTTGACTGAAAGTCTAAAGCCTTGGCAGCCAAAATTACCTACTGTCACAGCCGAAATGTTTTTTGTAGTACCACAAATGTAGAATTTTTTTTAACTTTATAAACAACAATTACAATAATTTCAAAAAACTTTACTATCCTGAAAAGGGATTGTTCCATTTCATTGATTGTATTATTGCAAAACATCTAATTGTGAGAGAGGAGTACTGGGCTAATCATAAAACTAACTTTAACACTGACTGCTAATTTGGTGTCTGAAATCTTTGTGTGCAAAAAAACAAACAAACATTTGTTTGCTTTCAAACACCTGTTTTCCCAGATGTCCAATCTTCAAAAACCTTGACAGAATTTGGTAATGTTCTGTATAAGTGTGGGAGAAGACCAAGATGTTCAAAGATCTTTAAATGCCTTACATCCAGCATGCCAGTGAAAAGTGTAGTTAAAAAAATGGTAAAATGCTATGATTATGCTTATGACTGTGGAATATTGATTGCATTTTTGTTAAGTTTTCCTTTAAGAATTATAAAACAATGTTTTTTGAAAACAAGAACTTGTTGCACAAGTTTGATTTTGACCTTGAATCTTCCATAATCCAAAAGGAAAACTGAACTCACAAAGTCAAATATGTGCATAGTAATTGTGGATTAACAAATTGCATCTCAGCAACACACTTTTTATAGCTATCAGCAAGCCTCAGGCATAATTCAGCATGACCTCAGACTTGATTTTATTAAAATTCAGAAACTTCTGTGCCTTCAAATTATTATGTGAACTGAGTCAGCAATACACTTTTGGTGGCAAATAAACTTCTGGTCCATGAATGGAGTCTTACAGCATCCCCAAAAGGAATTCACAAAAATCTACTAAAAGAGCATATAAGGAAATTTTATATTGGTAGATAATTTAGTTTGAGTAACAATTCTTTGCAATAAATTTTATACTGCTAGAGAGAAAATTTATTGAACTTATAAGAAAATTTGTGGATTGAGCAGCAAAACTGGGTATGTGGGCAGAGCCAATGAATAAATGCCAAATCATCTCTGCCAATCCCAAATGCCATATTTTATAAGTAACTCGTCCTGTCAATAAATTGGGCAATCGAAGTTTGAAGAAACAAGACAGAATCCAACAATTTATTAATTTAGTAAAAGGGGGGCTCAGCAGTGCATAGGGGGATCTTATACAACCACAACAACCAGGCGCCTCCTCCTGCTGCTGATCACCAGCTGGGTCACGCAGCTGGTGATGGAATCTCATTCTTTGACCACAATTTGTTGAAAGTGTGTTGATGAGATCAGATTGATATGAATAGCATGCAACAAATATGCAGTAAGATTGAGGTCAGGACGTTCCACTTCAATTTCTAGTTTCTAACAATCAACCAAACATTATTTTCTTGCTTTTAACTATATTACTTTCTTGTATCAAAATTCAGTAAGGTTGTTTCTGGTAAAAAAAACATTTCGCCTGAAAAACAACAACAAAAGAACTAAACAATTCAAACATATCTAAAGACCTACAATGAATATGACATTTATGCTATTGAAAAATGTATAGAAACATTTAAGACATAATAAGACAAGTGATGTTAAAACAGCACTACAAACGATAAAAGCAGTTTGAACACATCAAATAATATTTAATCAAATTTACATAATATATACAGCATAATCAGACCTTCATTGTTTTTAATTTTTTTTTAACGCATATTAGAACGCAGCTGTAACAAAAACATACACCCTTTAATCTAAAAGTAAACTCAGTGGAAGGTCAAATAAAGCAAGCACTAAAATTACAATGATCTGTACATTTGTTCTGTTTGCTATCTAGCTTTTTCTGACGGCCGTATCTGCCCAAACACTTCACGTCATATCTGATGTCACGGCAGCCCAAGGGAAATGAACTACAAACTACCTTTGAGAGACTACACGAGCTGCAGAGGCATCACAACAGCTGATCAACAGCTTTCTTGGCACAAATAAATAACAAACACGTTTTAGGCTTGAAGCAGGAGTTTCCCAGCAGCCTCAATAAATTAACAAAAGACAATATCTTCAGGTGAGGTGTTTCACAATGCCACAAATAATCAGTCACTAAGCAGTGAGGGCATTTTACTGACATTCACTTTTAAAACTCCTTATTTCACATAATATAGATACCTGTGCATAGAAGTGGAAAGCTAAGGCCTTATAAGGGAAAGAATATGAGCATGAAGAGGAAAAACCAGGAGGAGAAATAGGATGAATGTAGTATTATCCTACATATTGACATGTCACTGTTGACTAAAACTTCCAAATGTTAGAAGAAAACACTATAAGCTTTTACTACTTCAATAGTAATGTTGGTTCATGCATCTTAGCAAATGTGTTTCTTAAGTGATGCGTGATTTATGTAAATAGTAAACAAGTCAGATTTTTGTTTTTACAAAATGAGTTTACAGATTTGCTCAATAAACTGCAAAGCGTAATTTTTAAGACACGTTCGTTCGTTCCAACCTGCCTCCTCCTTTCATTTTTTTCTGCATTTTCAGAAAGTTGACAAACGTACACACTGTTGGAATGCCTAATTTAAGCATATGTACATGTGATTTCTTCGTCTGTATTCCTTTGGGATGGTCAGACGAACCATGTTCGGAGTGAATGAGCATTTCACTCATTAACCGGCATCATCTCTGCTGATAAAAGTCTGTTAACCAGAAAAGGTCAGTACTGGTGACTTGCTTCAGGCCTCCTTCAGTAATGGCATATCTACAGAAAAAAAAAAAAAAAAAAAAAAGTTAACTGTGTCTAGAAGTATATGAATAAATTAGAATATCACAGGGAAGCTAATATAAATAATTCAATTCAAAAGGTGAAACTCATATTACATAGAGTTAAAACATGATGTTAACATACACTGAGTAAGAAGGCACGTCAACTTTAAAATGACTGGTGTCTGAAAATAAAACAAACCAAACTTTCCTGTTTTAGGTCAGTTAGGATTACTAAACATATTTCCTGGTTGATGCTTCTACATGTTTCATCTAATTTAATGTCAGACATGGAGAAAAATGTTTGTGTTCTAATGTTTTACCATCAGAATAATCCATCTCAGAGTCTAGCGACAGGCTCTGTTGGTCACTGCCTGCAGACGCCCTTCTACGTGTGGCGGCGGTGCCTCCGGTTGCACCTGCATGCTCCAGAATCCACCCAGAAGACAACGGCGAGGAAGAGGAGGACTGCAGCACAGGGTGAATGACAGGCATCTCGGACTGTTGCTGTTTAAGAGAAGATGGCCTCGACGGACTGGCCTCTAGTGCTGAGGCATGCTGACCCTCAGACAACACTATCTGGACTCTGGACTCTGGGCTGAGTGTGGAAGCTCCACTGCTGCTCACAGCCTCCTCATAGGAAGGAAGAGTCACCTGGACTCCTTCCACCATGATGGAGACAGGCTGCCCCAGTACCCCATGGTCACGTCTACGGAAAAAAAAATCACAATTTGTTCATTTGTTTTTACAAAGAGCAGATTCAAGATAATATTTGGAAGGACAACTCACCGATGAAAGGACTTGAGTTTAGGCTGCAAAAGTACAAACAGCACCACCAGCAGCAGGATCAAAGCCACTGAACTTGCTGTGGAAGCAACTATGGACAAGGCTGGCATGCCCAAAGGCAAAGTTGGAATGTGGTCTTTGGGGCAGAAACCACATTCCAACATAATTATTTTGCTGCAAAAATGAGCATATTAAAGGTTTATATGTGTCACATTCTTTACCTTGCTCCATTACACAGCTTATCTTTATTTGGTTGTCCCACTGGCCGTACTGGCAGGTAAGATATTTATAGTCTCCTTTCAGAACATAACCTTCTTCGCAGAAGTATTCAATCACACTGCCGTGAGAAAGTCTTCGGCACGGGGACGGGTGGCATGTGTAGCCTCCGTTCTCTGGCTGATATGGAGAATCACACACTATGTGGGAAAATATAAAAGAAGCATAATGTATTTTATATAACAAACCAGCCAAACAGCATGATCAAAAATAGCAATGAAGCTGATATTCTGGGAAAAAATATGGAGTTCAAAGAGGAGTAATGATGTATCTTTACTGTCACTTTGTAAACAGCGAGGAGGCTCTGAGGACCAGTGTCCAGGTGTGGTACAGGTGAGGATGCTGGCTCCATCCAACAGGTAACCGGATTCACAGCTATACTGCAGAACTGACCCCACCGGGAACAAGCTACTGTTCATGTCTGTTAGATTAGTTGAAGCATGTTCGACCATCGAGGGTCTTACACAGCCTTAAAAAAGACACACAATAATAAACACAAAGTATTAGTGACAAAGTTCTTTTTTAGATATGAAACTAAAAAAGATTTTTATCGTAGTTCATCCACCTTGTTTAATAACACAAGTTACTGGCGATATGTTGTCCCATTTTTCGTAGCGACAGGTTCTGAACTTGTAGTCTCCTTTCAGAATGTAACCTTCATCACAGAAATACTCCACAACAGTGCCGTGAGAAAATCGTCTGCATGGGGATGGGTGGCAGGTGTAGCCTCCGTTTTCTGGCTGATATGGTGGCTGGCAAACTACCAATGAAAGAAAAAAGAACATCTTCAAAACCTACAATCAGTAAACATTTCTAGTACACTCAGAAGGGCATCTCACCGTCATTGCGTATGCAGCGAGGAAGATTAGAGGACCAGTCTCCAATCGAAGTGCAGGTGAGGATGCTGCGTCCGACCAGCAGGTAACCTGGATCACAGCTGTACTGCAACACTGTGCCCACTGGAAACAGGCTCCTATTGGTGTCCGTCAGATTAGTTGAACCATGTTGCACCACAGAGGGTCTAATGCAACCTTAAATAAATGTGATATGAAAAAAAAAAATATATATATTGTTAATTGGTCTTTTGTTCATTGTTTTAAGAGTGAAAAAATTATAAAAGTATCAAAACATAATCTACTATTGACTGAAAAACTGTCAGATATAATGGTATTGACCACTGACCAATAAGCTGAAACTCAAAAACAAACTTTGCCCAATCAGTGAACAAACATTGCTACCATGTTAAATTGAAATCTTGTTTCAGCAAAGAAACTGTCATTGCCCAAAAGAAAATTAGCTATTATTGAGTGTTTTTCTGAGACATTTCAAGAAACACATCTTGTTTATTCAGGCTGCAAGAGAGTGAGAGAGAGCTACACTTCCAGCAAATAATGTGGAAGCTAAACAGAATACAACAAAGATGCACCGTCTTTCTCAAAGTTTAAAGATATTTTAGCCAAGCACCAATAGTTTCTTTGACAGAAATATCTTCTGTCTTTCATCCCTACAGCTTAGTTCAGACATATGGAGAATACAGCAGATTGTCATCACAAGCAGACCACAATCTGTATTTGAAATGTTGGTCAATTGGGAACCTTCCTGATCAGCTTCTTCTTCTATCTTTTCCGTTATTTTGGTGAATTGGCCGGTCTTGAAATGTCAATATTTATCCTATAACAGCTGAAAAAACAGTGAAATGTTTTCAACATTTAAATTTTGAGCAGTCACTCTGAGCAGTTTGTTTTATGATGAATTTTAAAAGCTTCAATTCAATTCAGTTTTTATACAAAGTGCAAATTTATGCAACATGTTGTCTCAAAGCATGTATGAGTATGACTAATGTCTTATGTGAAATTTTTATGCGTTTTTAAGTTATTCAGGTCTCATCATTTTATGAGAAGAACTCAGCATTTTAACATTAATTGAAACACTTTTGAGAGCTCCTGTAAATAAATAATGACTCATCAATGTATGAAGGATGGAAAAACTATCTGAATGCTGTTTCATATCTTTCCGTTCTAGTTTTCTAGGAGAATTCAGAATCACACAAATCTAGATCAGAGTTTTACTAAATCAGTCTACGATTAAATTTTGAAAATTTTTTAAACATTTATTATTTTTGTGACAGGTGTGCATTTAGGACCGACAGATTAAAAACTGTAATATATTGACCAACCTTTGCTTACACAACTGATCTGCATTGGTCCGTCCCACTGTCCATCCTGACACGTCAGGTAGGGATAATCTCCACTGAGAGCAAAGCCCTCATTACAGATGAATTCTATTATAGTGCCATGGGAAAACAATCGACATGGGGATGGATGGCAGGTGTAGCCCCCATTCTCAGGTTTGGAGAGGGGTAGGCATGCTGATGAGGGAAAAGCACAACATATAAATCAGCAGCCCAGCTTTAAAAGTTGCTTATATGTTGGCAAACTGGCCAAAAAATCTGCAGAAATCTTAGAAACTCGAGAGCAGGAGAAAAACTTGATAATGTAGAAAATTAAGCTGTGAGAATCAAATGGCAGTCTGGTTGATAGAGAAAGGTAGCTTCGAGTGCCTTACCACCACTTCGTATACACTGAGGAGGTTCTGAGGACCATCGGCCTGATGTGGTGCAGGTAAGGATGCTGGGTCCATCTGGCAAGTAACCGGGGTCACAGTTGTACTGCAGCACTGTGCCCACTGGGAACAAGCCTCTGTTGGTCTCTGTGAGATTTACCCAGCTGTTCTGGACCATGTAAGGCCTCACACATCCTGGGAAAGAAAGGAGTGGAGAGAAAGCGACTTCTGAGAAACTGCGGAATTAAAACAACAAATATGTTCCAAGCTTTGAGAGTCATCTGGAACACAAAACAGTAACACAGAAAAAAATAGAACAAACTTGATTCAAGCTAGTTAAAACTGCACCTAAGGGTTTTGTTGTCCCATTGGAACCTTCAATATACTCTTCACAGCTTTCTAACTGAGCTGTCTGCTGTGTTCCTTTGCCTTTATGATGTTGTTTATTTACAAATGCTCTCTAACAAATCTCTGAATCTATACTCATATTAAATTAGACTCAGGTTGACTCTTTTTACTAATCAAGTGACTACTGGATTGGTTGTATTGAAAAGTGTTTAATTGTGTTCTTTAGACGTATTTGGTCAAAAACACAAATGACTAGTAAAACAAAACAGTAAAAATGCAAAATGGCACAAGGGACACAGTTTTACTAGTTACTGGATGTGATACAGACAACCCATTAGTGTGCACTTCTAAAGGAGAAATAAGAAAAATAAAGAGATGATTATTTTGATTGTAAACTTTCGGCTGTCACAAATTATTAGATTAGATTTATTGACATAAAACAAGATTAATACTACAGCTCTGTTCAGGTTTTGAAAATCAAGCAGTCAAGACACACAAGACTAGACAATCTTTTTAAGAGTAATAATTAACAATAAAACATAAGCCTTTGAACAGCAGAGTTCAGTTATTAGCACAAGTGCACCACTGAACAAAACAGCAGATTGGGAAACAAATATATCTTTTTTTTATTTGTGAGAATGGAGTTATCTCTTGTCTGTTGTTGTTATTATCATTGTGTCATTGTCAATAATTTTATGACTAAAACAGAAAATTTAAACAATGCTATTAATATTTAATGAAAATGTTTCAGTGTTGAAATGAGATAAACATTTATAAAATTAACATTTTATCATGTAGTTTCTATTCAACATAAACAATGCATGTATTTGATCATATTTAAAGTTAAATCATAATTAAACTAATTATAGTTAATTAGAATTCATGCCATAATATACTTAATATTGATAACAATACATACTGATGGAATGGATCTGGGACAAAAAGAAAAAAAAAACGTACTGAGTACTAAACACTAGACAAACATTAAGCCAAACAAGTTAGGGATTACATGTTACATACGCAAATAAATAAAGCTTTGCTTTACTCTGATGTGCAAACATGAGCTCTGTCTTACCTGAACCTTGCCCAGTGGACGCTAGAGTCAGTACCAGCAGCAACACAAAGGACCGCTCCTTGGCTGAGGTGTGGGCCCAAAAGGCATTTGAAATTGACTCTGAAATTCCATTGCACATCTTCCCCTTCAGAATCAACTCAACCTAACACCAAGGCGAGAACAATACAGTCATGCATGTATTACAACAGATGCTTAACAATAAAACAGACCATCTTCCACTGCCATCACATGCAGACACCTGCTTGGTGCAGGTAGATTGCAGAGCTTGGAAAGCTGCCAGTAAAATGGGTGTGATTGTAGCGGTGATATAACTGAGCGCAATTACAAACAGATAACTATTTCATGCAGTACCAATAAACAGACAAGACTAACGCATCTAATTTTTGGTCATATTCAGAAAAGGGGTTTTGAAAATCAAATGCTTATCATATAACATATTTGTGACTCAAAGGCTCCACCTATTTCAGCAGCTTAAAAACAAAACACAGAATGACATTGTTAGCATATTGAGGGTTTCTAACATAAGTCTGACTCTAGGAACTGAATATTCCGCATGACTTTGATAGCTTTGGTGAGCAAAGTGAATCAATATGCTCGTTCTTGTTTCCTCCAGGCGCAGATTCAGCTGGATCGTCATTTACTTACCACTAAAAACACGGCCTCCGAACCTCCTCCGTCACAACCTCACGATTCAGACATTTAATAGCAATGTCTCAGCGACGCTGAGGGAATTGTATCTTTTTTGGGGAGAAACCCGCAGGCTGTGAATGAATCCGTTTGTTTGTAATGTGAGCAGCGCAGCGGCACTGAGCTAACCGCTGGCTACCTTCCTAGCTGAAGCCGCCGCGCTAGCTGCTGCTGCTGCTGCTGCTTCGCTTCAGCATCAGCTGTGTCTGAGAAACAACATCCGGGGAGTGTTTGCGTCCGTAGTAACCGACCGTTTACAAGCGGAATAAACTGTTGACAAGGGCTTGTTGCAGTTGGATTGCTCCACATTTAGAGTTAGCGAATCAGTAAATAATGCAATGGAAGTCATTAAAGGTAGTTTAGATGATATTTCCCGACCTGCATCGACTGAGCAAACTGGTAACAGATTTTGTCCTGCTGCGCCATTGGAGCTGCTTGTTTTGAGCAACGATTCTGCTGATGTACAGGTAGATAAAGAACTCTTTAAATATAGTCAAGGTATGTTTTATACCTTAAGAGAACTATTTTCTATCAAAGCAGAACGGCAGTGGAGAAATGGAACATCATAATAGAGCCACAGGACCTGGTAAAGGTAAATGTTCATTCAAGTAGTGGTTTAAAAGTTAGAACTGTGAATAAATACAATTAAAAGATGAACTTGAGTAATTAAGTTAGTAAGTTAGGGAAGCTGACAGAAACATATGAATGCTCAGCTTGCAAATTGAAATCAGCACTTAATTAAAATTAAGCTGTTGCTCCATTATGCATACCAAAGAAGAAAGAAGAAAGAGGCAGGCAGTGATCTTCCTCTTTCAGTTCATTTTTTTGCTGAGTTTACAGGAGATGAAAATGAGGATTCGAAACTGCAGAGAACCTTTGAGGAAATGAGACGACTTGATGAAATTCTGTCAGCAGAAATCTTCAAGGAAAAACAAATTCGGTGTCAAAGAAAAGAACTCCAAGCCAAAATGTGGCAAGAGCTCCAGGTAGATATGATATCAGTGCTTTGTTAGCCAGGTGAAAATAGTCTTTTTAATTAAATGAGTAAGCTTTATGCTGCATAATGTATGATGATATACTCTGTTTTTTTTTCTTACAGAGAAAAACTGACAGATACTCTGAATGTGCTCATGAAGCTTTGAACACAAAGCTGTTTTTGGCTTTGGAAGCCCACACTTGTGTGTAAATCCAACACCGATTAAGAACATTACTAAAAAGCGTGGTGTGCCTGGCTTAAGTGTTGATATGCCTTAAACATTTTCATATTTTGTCCAACTAGAACCACACACTTCAATGAGTTTCATTGGGACTTTATGTCAAAGAAAGTGGATTTTGTTTGAAGTATGTAGAAAAATTATGCACATTCTTTGCTTGCTTTTCTTTACATTATATTTTAACATAATTAAGATTGAATGAAGATAATTGATGAACATTAGTTTAGAAGTCTTTTCACAGATTCTCACTTGGACCTATGTTTGAACTTTGACTGAACCATTCTAGTACAATAACATGTGTCCCATTGTAGCTGGGTCTGCATGTTTAGGGATGTTTTTCTGTTGAAATGTGAACATCTGGCCCAATCTGGGATCTTTTGTACTGTTTAACAAATTTTCATACAGCATTTCTAAATCTTTAGCTTCTAATTAACTCTAACCTATTCTTCTCTCCCTGCAGAAGATCAGCATTTTCAAATCATGACGACCACTATATTCAGTGTTAGCCATGTATGGTCTGATCTGAACAGATCAACTTATTCAACACATTTACCACATACTTGGTGACAATATGTAAACAAGAAATCTTTTCTATGGAAATGAAATGAAATATTAATTTATTTTGAGCATATAAAATACAAGATTGTGCTTCAGCGTATCATGGTGAAAATAACCGATTAAAAATACATGCTGAAAACTTTAGAATTTTATACCTAAAAAGAAAAAGTCAGTTTTCCCTTCAGTTATGCAGTGATTTGTGTTGGTTTGCATGAAGTCCCAATGAAATACTCTAAAGTTTGTGGTTGTTTTATGATAATAAATGAAAAAGTTCAGGGAGTATGATTACTTATGAGAGGCAATGCCCACTAATATATTAGTGGGCAGACAGGCCTTCATTGTTTCATTGTTTTATTATCACAAAGGTACAAAAGAAGAGGACCATTATGAACCTCTGTTTGTGACCCAAGTTCCAGACTGTGAGCATAATGGGGACGACCAGGGCCTGCAGCAAAGTGAGCTAATGCGACGTTAGACATTATTTTCAGTTGTGTTAACAAATTTGTGCACTGGATGGCGCTAAAATTTCACAAACCCTGTAATAGTAGGTTTTCGCCATTAATGTGACATACTTTTTTTTTTTCCAAAGATCTTTGCAAAACTTTAGTCACTGTTCAACAAATTCCCAATAAAAATCTTATGAATTTTTATGGTATTAAAACCCCAAAGAATGACAAAAATAAAACATTTTTAAACGGAAGCTATGGAGTAGTGAGGAATTCTATGTTTTCCCCAGGAACACATATCTGAAATGTTAGCATATGTTTTCATCATGTTTAAAAAGATGCATTCTTAAATGTTTCTTCACTGAAATAAGACGTGCCTTACTTGACAGCTGAAAAGTCGCCTTACAGCTTGACTTTATCATTTGAAGGAAGCAGTGCAAATAATGAGGGCCTCCGGTTTGTGGAGAGCAACAGCAAAACTTCCAAAACAAAAAACAAACAGAAGGACTTTGTCCAGAGGAACATTGAGGTATGATTTAACTCATGTTGCGTAAAAAATGTTTGCACTTTTATCTCATGTCTTTGAGTTAAGTTTTTCAGCTGTTGATTTTTCCAGTTGGAAAAATGTGTTTTCCTTTAGATATACAGACTCACGTCTATATTCACCACTGATTGCATAAAAATTTCAATTTTCCATTTCTTTCCCCATTATGTTGTGTAATTCAATAGTTGGCAAGCAGTGATGTGGGTCGAGTGCGCTTGACCCGTGCAGAGAAAGAGCATCTAGCTGAACTGCTTCAAGAAATAAACGAAGAGGAAGACAACAGCGCCAGCGGCACAGACAGTGAGGTAGGCTAACATTTGGCCAAAACAGACAAAATATGCTGTAGGCTGAGTTTCTATTTCACCATATATGCAGAATCCTTAAGGGGAAGGACCACATCCAACTCTATTATTAATAACTAAAACTTACTGCAATAAAAATATTTTTTTCCTGCATTTACTTTTTGTGTACTTTGTTAATCACAATATTTAAATAATTATATTATGATTAAAAACAATGTCCCTAACTACAGGGCCTTGAAGGTTTTCCCAACTCTTGGACTCTTCACTTTTTTCATCTTGTTGCAAACAGAAACTTTCAGATATTTTATTTGGATTTTATGCAAAAGACCAGCACAAAAAGGTGTGCAACTGTAAAATGAAAGTAAATGTTATTTTTTTCCCATCCATCCATCCATCCATCCATCCATCCATCCATCCATCCATCCATCCATCCATCCATCCATCCATCCATCCATCCATCCATCCATCCATCCATCCATCCATCCATCCATCCATCCATCCATCCATCCATCCATCCATCCATCCATCCATCCATCCATCCATCCATTCATTTTCTAACACCTTTGCCCCTAGTGGGTTTGGGAGGAGTGCTGGTGCCTATCTCCAGCAAACATTCCAGGCGAGAGGTCGCCAGTCTGTCCCAGTGTTTTTTTTCCCCCCTCTCAAATAAAATCTAAATAATCTAAAAATCATGTTGTGAGGATGTTTTTCTTTGTATATGGATAATATATCATCCATATTTCTCAGATATGGATAATATATTTAAGATTTGAGGAGCAACTTGAGGTTCATGCAAGAAAGTCCAGGAAAAAACTGAATCTTCAAATAATTTGAGACTGAGACTAATGTTATAAAAAGGCTACAATAGGAATTTGCTGTAAGTTTGAAAGAACTATTTAATTTGTTTCTTTGGTTTTAAAATAAAGAAAAACATAAAGCTTTACCAGAAATAGGATGGATGTCTTTTCTTCCATGGGATTTTGGTACTGGTGAACAATGATTTAAAACAACCTAATGACAAGAAAAATTGATCTAAAACATATTACCTGTACTTAGGCCATTCTGTTATGAAAATTTAAAGTGATCATTCCATTAAAAAACTAAAAAAATATATCTATGTACTTTGTTCTTTTATCATTTTAGCCAAAGTCAATAAGAGCCACTGTGAAAGATTTAAAGAGTCACTTGCAGCTCTAGAGCTGCAGGTTGCAGACCTCTGCTCTAAGCTAAAGCTTCTGACTCAAAGTATTTCAAATTATGGACCAGATGTCAAATGCCACATGTGGTTTGCTTGGAATGCTGCATGTTGTGAATTAATTTTATAATCCTGGATTCACAGCTATTCCCCCCTCCTGTTTTTCAGCAAAAACTCAGAAGAATGGATCTTTCAGACAGACATACAGCTGTTCTTGCTAAGAGAAGGAGACCTTTTGTTTCTCCTTTGAGGATTATGCCGAGACATTGCTACTTGGAGCAGTCCAATGATTCATTCAGAGTCCTAACTTCACAAGTTTTGATTTTCACGTTTCTTTGTCTTAATTACCTTTTGAGCTGCTATGAAATCAGTTCAAATTCAGATGGGCTGATACCTGCTCAAAAGTTAGGCAAAAAACACGCTTACCTCTTAACATGCGGTTCTGTTTAAATCAACCCAGGCAGCTCTGCATCAATAGAACAGACTGCCAGGGTTTTTAGGGCATTTGAATGTCTTGCTGGGTTTTTTTTTATGATGTTTGCCTTGACTTTAGAACAATACTGCAGTGATTACGGTGGCAGATACCATACAGACCAGAGTGCAGATGCTTTGGACTTTTTTATTAGCTGGAAGAAGCCTTCCTGTTTCCTGTTATTGTAATGCATGCTTGTATGAATGGCCATGACAGAGTGAGAATATTATTTATGCCACCAAGACTTTAGTGGTGGATGTCACCCAGCTCTTGGCAGAATCCCTTGGTGCACATTTGTCAAATTGTGCTGCTCAGTGTTTACCTTAGACACTTGCATTCTCACACGGGTCACCTCTGTGCTGCAGTGTAGACGTGTTACAGTCACGTCATTAGGAGCCGGTACTTAGAGAAGACTTTGAGGCATCCGGGGTTTACATACGCAAGCACAAACATTCCTCGCCTAATTCCTCAGATGTTGTGGGAAAAAGATAAAAAGGTGCTTAAATACAGACAAATTTATCTAAATAATGCATCTGCTATGCAGTATAAACAATATTTATAACTTTCCAGTGAAAACCCTTATTATCTTAGCTCAGTCTCAAATCCCAACTACTATTTATGTCTTTCAAGAAAATATGATGGAAAGATTAGTTTAGAGGCAAATTGTGATGCTATATGCAAACACAGAGCTTATGCTGATCCTTACATAGGCTTATGTGTATTAGGGTAAGTCTAAAATATTACTTTTTGCAGCTACAAAGCTGTCAAAACTCTGAATATAGTTAAAAATTAGCAGAGCATACATGTTATTTCTGCTTTAATTTGACACTCCTGAAAACATCAAGTGTTTATCATTTAGCACTCGATGAAGATAGAGTCCACCTGTGGGAAAAAAAAAATGCAGCTATTCAATAAAGGCCTCGGAAGTTTGTTACAAAAAAAAGCGTCATGGAGATCAAGAAAAACAACGCATAGGTCAGAGATAAAGCTTCAGATAGCTTCCATAAGATAAAATAGTATGAAACAACTGCAAAGCTACCAAGATGTCCGTCTACCTAGGCTAAAAGGCCAGGCTTTAATCAGAGAAGCATCTAAGAGGCCTGTACTAGGTCTGGGGAAGCTTCACAGCTAAGGTGGGATAAAATGTTGAATCTCAGTTGTGTACTCCACAAATCTGCCCCTTATAGAAAAGTGGGAAGAAGAAAGCAGTTATTACAAGAGAGCCAGAAGAAGTCCTGTTTGGAGTTTGCCATCATCCATGTAGCTTGTAAATCAAAAAATAAAGTAAAAGGTCCCTCAGTTCTTAAGTTCAAAGTAATCCAGATATGAGGGTTGTTTTGATAATTTCATTCTAGTCTATCCTGTTTCTTAGTCTCTTTCTTTAATGAGATTGGTCTTGTTTCCATTTTACTGTAGTTCAGACCTTCTTAGTTTTTCTAGTTATGTTCATTTCTTGTCTCTGAATTCTTTCGATTCATTTCCTAGTCCCTGGGTACTCTCCCTTGCCCCCTGTGCCATTTTCTCTCTCTCTCTGCTCAGCCTACCTTCTGCTCTCTCCCCTCACACCTGCAACTCGTTAGCTCATCAACTCAGGTCTGTTGTTCCGGCAGTCACCCTTCTCTTTCTCACACTCCCTGCTGGTCCCTCCTGTTATTGTCTCTGTTGTCATTGTTTTTCATGGATTTATGGTATTTCTTCTGCTCTGGTTCCCTGTGGTTATTCTTGTAAGTTTTATGTAATTAAGTTCATTAAAACAGCTACAAGCTGCCTCTCTGCATTTGAGTTTACCGGCTAACATGCATGTCGTGACAACATATTTGTGAGCAGGATTCGTCTCATTTTGTGTTTGGTATACTTATGGTGTCTATGTTTGTTGAAAAACGGAAATTCCATCATTGCAGAACACATGTTAACAAGAAGGCCTCAGAAATATTCTGGCTTATGCAGGGAAACTTCTGCCATGGTTAAAACTCCTGCCTTTATCATAAAAGCCAGTGGGGCTCTTCCATTTTATATTTGGGATGCACTTAAACTTCCTAATGAGCTTCTATGTTTGCTGCTTCGTTCTGCCAGTTTTCCTCCTAGTACTCAGGGCTTACAGCTGTGCTCTGTTTAGAGTAATGAACTGTTTTGGCATGTTAATATTTTTAATAGGTCCTATCTCACCACTGTAATGTGCTGAGTTCAACATCCATGTGCTGGTTCCCACAGACTGTAATAGGAGTGTCATTGAGTCAGACAGCAAGTGCCATTTGTCTCTTATTAACACAGAACCCATTCAGAAGTGGAGAGCTGAAGTCAGACGGCACCTCTTCCCTGATTCTGATGTCATTGCAATAATATTGCTAGATAATGTTTATCAGTGCACTGTTTAGGTTGCTACAGAGCAAAGCAGACCTATCCCCCATGGACCATGACTTACTATGCTGACGTCTGTTTTCCAGGAGGCTGTGTGGGCTACGTCAGTCTCTGCAGGCCAGGGTTACACCCCAGAACCTTCTGATCTGGAGCATCTGATGGAGATTGATGCTAAAATTCGCCTCCTCCTTCCTGCTGAAGAACTCCACTCCCTGCTGAGCTCAAACACAGACCAAAACGTGTTCCAGGTAAATCATCCCAAACATTCAGAGCTTTGCAAACGTATTCACATCCTTTTAGCTTTTGTCATGCTAGAGCTGAAAACTATAATGTAATTTTTTTTGGGTGAACTTTCTGTATTTGTATTCAACGTCATGAATCAGAGTCAAACCCAGCTGGAGTTCCTATGGGGTATTTCTCCAGCTTTGAAGATGTAAGAATTTATATCAAGTCTTTGTAAATTGGCTTAAGCTTATTAAGCCAATTTAATAAGCTTAATAATAATTCTGGAAATCTCTGACTAATTCTCAGAAATTAGTCAGATTTAATAGAAAGCAAGTCCTCATCAATGTTCAAGCCTCACAACTGTTTCACAGTTGGATTGCTCCATCAGCTCTGAGCAAATCCCCTGTCCTTGCTGAAGAAAGACATCGTCATGATGCTGCCATTGTAGCACAGAGGAGGTAGAATGTTCAGGGTGATGTGCTGTGCTATTTTTCTGATGAAAATACATGTACCTTACAGTTTGGTCTCACCGCCTTCTTCCACTTCTTATGACTTGATTTCAGTAATGATGTTATTTTTACTGAAATAACAGTAAAAATAAATAAATCTGTCCATAAATGGGCAGATTTATGGAGTGCAAAGTCAGCAGTTGCCTTTAAAGCAGAATTTTTCGCCTGAGGTTTGGGTCTCTGCAGCACCTATGATGTTATTAGGACTCTGTTTCTCTGTTTTTATTTATGGCTGTGCTTGCACTGCTTTAAACTGTATTCCTAACCTGTTTGTGTAATGAGTATTGGGTTTTAAGGTTTAGTTTTCATGTTTTTATTTACATTTAAAAACTCTTTCAATATTTAGTTCATTCTTTGTTGCTCATTATTATCAGGGTCTTTCCACATTAGTCAATTTATGTTTAGTTTTTCAGTCAGTTTCCACATGCCCCTGATTATCCTGTACCATGCGTGAGTATATAAGCTTACTGGTTACATCTGCTTGGGCTCCTGATCTCCTTATGCAAAGTTTGCAGTTTTTTTGTTTTGTTTTTTTTTTTAGTTGTTTATAATTACATTGTCTGAAGTTTAAACATATTTGGTGTATGCCCACTTTCCAGAAATTAGATTTTTTGGTGATTAATATTTTAAATAACCCATATTTTTAAAACATGCTAAAAAGAAATACACATGGAATCAATGTTGAAAATACAGCTTCTTGGATCAGCTATTGTGCATGCTCTTTGTATTAAAATTGTATTTTCCGAGTTCCCAGTGGGAAAACAACAGTCCCAATGAAGTTGGACTTTTGACCAGGAAAGTTGAGGGTTGTCATGCACTTGTTTAGCATCGAGTCTAGCTGCCATGTATACAAACAAATTGTATAGCTGGTTTGCACATTATAAAACCAGAAGCACCTATAGTGTTGCACAATCTATATTTTAATTGATTGATTACTTTATTCAACAGATTCATGTTCCTTTAGTGGAGAAATTAATTTGTATAGGCTTGCATTACAAAAACTAGGTATTGTCACAACAGTTTTCAATTTCCACAGTTTGCTGAGCCTTCAAAAAGAATAAACTCACTTAAGGTGTGATGTAATTCTCAGATCCAAGCTTTGTCTTGTGAGAAAAGATAACAAACATACTATTCGTTACATACTGGCTGTATTAATATGGGACTCCGCTGTGGGTTTGTTCCTCAGTGTTTTTTTTTTTTTTAAAGTTTTTATAGTCTGAAATTAAGAAATGTTTTTTCTTTTTTTTGTTTTTTCTTTGTAAATTTACTAATTAAAAAGAGATTGTTCTGACATTTAAATGTTGGTCAATAAAATTAAAAGGGTAAAATCAGTATCTTCATCAGCAGTTCTCAGTCATATGCTCTGATTTAGAAAAGCTCGACAAACTTTAATAATATGTCCAATTTTATAGTTGGGATATAAAACGCTAGACACAGTGTACCACAAGTCTATTTAGCTGTGAAGTCAAATGAAATGCATAAATTGCAAAGCAAAAAACAATACTTTCAGCTGCAACTCTATTCAAATTTAGAACATCTATTTTTGTCTATCAATTTAGAATCAAACTGCATGCTTTTGGATTCTTGGAGAGAACTTGAGTGGCAAAAAGAGAAGAAACCAAACAAAGCTGGCACGTAGCAAGAGTTTCAAGCTGGAGGCCTTGTTGTAGAATGGCAGTAATAACCACTCTGGGAACATGATGCCACCCAAAAGTTTCCTGAGTGACATTTTTATTTTCAATTAAAGGGATCAAAGAAAGTGACTTGGTTGTGTTTTTCATACATGATATTTGATTTCATCACAAAGGGCATCCAAATATATGCTATAAAGAAATAGTCATTTTCCATTTATTTTCTGAATCAGAGAAACAAACCAAATATAAGAGTTTGTATTCAGTTTTAAATGAATTCTGCCTTGAGTCATATTTATGCTCTGTAATCTCTTTTGCATCTAAGAGTAAGTTTAAAATGTATATTTGTAAAGCTGAAGTTTTCAAGCTGTTCTATGTTTGAGTTTGATGTTAGTAATCAACTCTGTCTCTGGATATTTTCCCACAATATTCAAAGTTTGATTCTATGCACTTGATTTGCAAAACCTGTCACCAAAAATTGCTCATTTGGGAGCTGTTTCACAAAACCACCAACTGGAGGAAAACAAATTATGACTGTTCTGAAAATTTTACTGTCAGGATGTGAATTTGGGTATTTTCTTCTGAGCTTCTTTTCAGTTAAAGTGCCACAAACTCCTAAACAAACTAGTGATTAACATTTTTATCTATGTGAAAATTTGATTGTAAAATGAGAAATAAAAAAATCCAAATTGAGGGCTGGTACTCGACAGCACTGCCAGCAAGAAGGTCCTGGGTTTGAATTCCTGCAAGAGAGCTTCCTGCATAGAGTTTGTATGTTCTCCCTCTGCATCCATTAGTTCTCTCTGGTGCTCTGGCTTCCTCCCACAGTCCAAAAGAATTAAGTGATCTCTCTAAATTGACCTGAGATTTAGTGTGTATGTTTGTGTCTGTGGTGGACTACAACCTATCCAGAATGTGCCCCACCTCTCAGTCAATGACTGCGTTGGTCATTGAGCCACAAAATAATGGACAGCTCAATGGCTGTCTATTGAGCTGCTGCAATTGAGCAGGTTACTGTTTGTGTTACAAAACAGTAACCTATCTGATAATACAAATAAATTTAGCAATAAATTCATGATGTGAGTCATTGAACTTTTTTTTCCTCTATTTCCACCTTTTATTGTCTTCACATGCCAAATAAGTTCTTGGAAAATTTAAAGTCTTATCCAGCCATCATCTGCTCTTTATTAAAGCTTAAAAGACTAGTGCAGAGTACTTTTTCTGAGGCATTCCTGGAAGTTATTAACACTCAAGTTTTTGAAATAAGAATAAAATGTAGTCTTTGAATTTTAGTTGGTGAACACCACACCTGTTGGGGCAACAAAAAAGAAAAGTCAACCACCCTGTACATTTTTTGCAGAACCAATGATTTGTTTCAGGTCAGTACTCATAAATCTTTAAAGAGCACATAAAAAATATGCTTTTGTTTTGCTGTACCTTTCTTTTTGGTAGTTAGGATTTCTAAATGGAGTCTTTTAGACAGCAGTTTAGAAAACGTCATGTTTTCCTGCTCGTTGCACGCTGTGATAAAGGAATGGAATATTTCTGTGCTTTATTTTTTTGTTTCTTACTGATATTAAATCAACGTAAATTTCTGTTTTTCAAATTCATGTACGCTTCAAATTGATTGCAGAGTACTAACATAAACTTCTATGTACAAGAATCTGCCTTTGAAACCAACCTACTTAGTAAATAATCCATCTGTGTTTAATTTAATTTCTGAACAAATCCAGCTATTATGAGGAGGCCTAAATGTTTGTTAAAGAACATTGATGAACAAAGAGCTTCACAGAGACCAGACAATGTGGTAGACAGATCAGGAATAAAACTGTTTGGTTGTAAAACATTTTCTAAAGCTTGGAACATTTTGAGAATTGTTTATTTTATAATCTAAAATTGGAAAAATGGCGCAACATGATCTAAACTGACAGACCATTTTATAAGAGGGAACCGTATCTAACATAGTTCTTGAGCATAGAGAAAAAAAACTGTAGGCCAAAAACACAAGACAAATGCAAAGCACAACTGGGGAAATTGTATGCCTTTCTTTTTAAGTACCTTTAACTTGGGGATTTAGACTCATGTTGCAAAAAGTTCAGAGACCACTTTCTTAAATTACAGCATATTGATATGTTCTCAAATGACTGGGTCATATTAATTGGATTCACTTGCATCCAATTGAGAATCAGCGACCATACATGTTGCTATTCATTGCTGCTCTCCATCCAGTCTGACACTGTGAGCTCTTTTGCAAAATAAGCATAGGCAGAGTTTTCAGTCTGTGTGCAAAGTTGTTAGAGAAATTGCTCCTATATGTATAGTTCTAAAAAATATTGACACAAATGCCGATTAATGTTGAGCCATGTGTCCTTTCCACTTCTGTAATGTGCTAATTTGTGTTGTTCGATCACATTAAATCCCAAGAAAATTTTTTGAAATTTCTGGTTTTAACATAAAAAAATGTGAAAAAGTTTTACTTTTTCACATTTTCTTACAAAGCAATGTGTTAGTAGAAAACTAATATAAACATTCACCTTTGTAATGCAGGTTATTACAAAGTTGAATTAAGCAAATTAGAAAGTATACCAAAAAACTATTTGGTTTTCTTTGACACTGTTCCCTTTGTACTTTTGTCAGCACTTTTTTGCATTCTTTTATTCTCTCTGTTCACTGTCTCCAAATGAATCAAGCCCTGCTGTCATTAAAAACATCTGTGTACATAAAGCCTTAATATACAGTACTCCCCACTTACTGTACCGCTGTGTGGTAATGCCAGCACCACCCATGATCCGCAGGATTCCGTCACAAGTTTTCTGAAGTTGGTGACATGGGTGTTTAAATTGGCGTGCCCAAGCTTGTGTGTTTCTCAGATTACAAATACAT